TCCCCAACTTCTTTACCCTTTAGCATGCAGCCTTCATGGAAGAAAGAAAGGCAAATAGAAGAGGATGCTTTGAAAAGCATTCTCCGTGGGTGCCTTTAACCTCTCAGTTAGTATCTGAAGCTCCAGGAAAATTGACATCCTCACGTTTGGTGTCCCAGCTTGACGTCATGATTCCTCCCCTGTGTGCGAGACTTGCTTCCATTTATTTGCTAGGATAGATTATTTTTTCTCTCCTTTAAAACAAGGCTCGAGACACAGCCTTTACTTCTTCTTCCCCTGCATAAACCCCATTGGACCCTGAACCCAGCCGGATCTCTACCACTCTTGCCAGTTTGGAGAAGGTCAGAGGCCACATGGGAAATCCAGTGCAGAAGCAATATGGCGACCAGCGCTTGGAGGACCAGAAGGGAATGAATCACAGCAACTGATGCAGGACAGGTTTGCTACGCAGCTTTCTCGGCGTGTGCACCGAGAACTGCGTTCAAATGAACGCCAAGCCCCAGATAATCCTCTTCAGCTCAGTGGTCCTGGCACAGGGCCGACTCGGCTAGTTTCTGAGTAGGACACCCTGTGCCCAGTGCCTCTCTCTCCGCCCAGGTGCACCTGAAGTCGCTCTTCCAACTCCGCATGTCGTCGTCCTATCTACGAAAAGGTTTCATCTCAGCCTGACCTTCCAGCACCCCGGGGAGAGGCATGAAATTCATCCTCCTCTGCATCCCCAGCTGGTTGCTTCTCAGCTCCACGGAGATCAGTGGTATTTTAAGAAGTCAAACCGCCGCACTCCCCAAAAAGCAGCACAGTGTCTCCTTGGCTTTTGCAGAAGTTGCCACAGCAACGCAGGTTGGAGTACTTCCCCCCCGCTCCCCAGCCTCCCCGGAAAACCTGTTTCAACAAATTGTCTTCCAAAAAGGCCGAGCTGGGGAATGGTGTCTTGCGCTCGCTCTGAGAATGTCATTATCTTTGATCAGTGTAAGTGCAGCCCCCAAATGAGATGCAAAACGTACGGCTTTTAAGAAATCGGGCCGTGGGAAGAATGAAAGCTATCCAAGTGGCGTTCTCATGCAGAATTCTGAGACCCAAAAGCACCTCCCTTCCTTAGGTGCAGAGCCGTCGTGACATTGTACCCTGGTCGACCCTAAAGGTCATTGTTCCCAAACGGGTGGAATGCCATCCTTATTTCTTAGCGTTCCGGCTGCCCGTTTCTGGGTGGACCCAAGCTGATTTGCCGTCTGGTTTGATTTTCACGGCCATCTGATAGTCCCCTGGACTCTGCCTTTACTTTAAAGTGGTTCTTTGGGGACTCCTTTGCCTTCTGCCATTTTTAGCCCGCCACATGCCACCCAGCTCCAGCCCCCTGGCTGGGTCTTCAAATTATACGACTTTGGGGGATACATTGGGGACATGGTGGTGCCTCCTGCTCTTGGGACATTTAGCCATGTCTGGTGACGTTTCTGATGGTCAACTGTGGGGGTTGCTCCTGGCATCTAGAGACCAGGGATGCTGCTAAACACCCCACAGAGCGAAGGACGGTCCCACCACAAAATAGGTGGCCCTGAAGATCAGTGGGACCAAGACTGAGAGACGTGTTTTCCACGAAGAGACCAAGGTCAAGAAATGGCCCGTTAATTATCTCGCTGAAGCTTATGGCCACAGGACCAAGGGTCACCTCTGAGCCACATGCTAACCCCTTTCCATCACTTTATTTGGAGATAGGGTCTGTCTGAGTTGCTGAGGCTGGCCTCAAACTTGAGGTCCTCCTGCCTCAGCCTCCTGAGAAGCTGGGTTTACAGGTGAGGGCCCTGGCGCCCCGCGGTAGTTGACTCTTCCATTGAGACTGAGTTATGGAATCCAATCAAACCGGCTTATGCCTCTAATCCCAGAGGCTGTGGAGGCTGAGGCAGGAGGATCACAAGTTCAAAGCCCCAAGCAACTCAGCAGGACCCTGTCTAAATAAAATATAAAAAAAAGGGCTGGGGATGTGGCTCAGTGGTGAAGCACCCCAGAGCTCAATCCATGGTCCAAAACAAACAAACAAAAAACCAAACAAACAAAAAACCATAAACATTATCACTGCTCAAACACTAAAAGCCACCTTCAGGTGACGCCCGCGATCAGCTGAATAGTCACTGGTTCTACATCCACGGCAACAGTCAGAACAGGGTCCTCCCGCTCATTTCCCCAGTCACAAAAACCAGTGCCTGCTTTGTGGTGGTTTTGACGGTCACAGGTTTCCGGCGACGCATTGCATCCATTTGGTCTTTGCACGTGAAGATGCTAGCAAATAGGATTCCTATTCCATGACAAAGGAGATCTTAGCTTTGCTCAGTCCTGCGGGCTGTGGGCAGTGCGTCAGCCCTCCCTAACCCCACGCTGCAGTCTCACTAAGCCGTGAGCATCCTGAGCTGCCCGCAATTGCCTCCCGCGCGCGGGTGGGTGCGTGCGTGCGCTGAGAATCTGTGCTTTGCAGCGGGCTGTCCCAGAAGGACCTCTGGTGGAGCCATTCCCAGTGGATCAATGCGGGGAAGCCCGGCCAACTCAGTCACAGAATCGGGCCAGTTCTCCTTCCACATTTTGTAGACCCCACCACGACTCCCCAGGCAGAAGGGTGGGAAGAAAAGTCCATTCCACGTTGAAGACTCGATTGGGTGCCAGACACCACAGGCTGAGACGGGTTTTTTTGCTCAAGAAGAGGCGGCGGCGGACGCTTTTGGTTTTCAGAACATCTTCAGATGAGACGCTGGAAAAGAAAATTTTTTTTGGCGTCACCAAAGAATCTAGGAGTTAAAAAAAAAAAACAAAAACGGTGGGGACGCTCTGACTTTCTCAGCTGATGTGTCAGGGTGACAGTCTGAGGACCGAGTGGCATCTGAAGTGACTTTGGAAGCTCAGCAGCCCTGACTCTCTCCCTCCCAGGGTCCGGGATGTGCTCTTGGTGCGTTATTTAGCCCCAGGCTACATGCGGACTTCTGTGACACTGGGGGGTGTCTTCCTGTCTCCCGTGGCCTGCATTCTCCAGCGATGAGCACCTTCTGGGGACACTTTAGGTCACCAGAGCTGAGAAGTCCTGATGCAGAGAGCAGGCGGGATCAGTCACATCCTGACGTGGGCACAGGGGACAGAGACCTGAGCCCTGTTTTAAAGAGTGTCCTTTTAGGTCCTCTGAGCAGCAGATGCCAGGGCAGGCTCAGGCGTGCAGGACGCCATTGGGGACATGGCTGTTTCCAGACCTGCCGTGACAAGGTACAGGAACCAGGGCACTTAAACCACAGAAATGCATTGATCTCTCACCGTCTCGGAGACCAGGAGTCTGAAACCACAGTGTCCACCGCCTCGTGCTACCTCCAGAGGCCCCAGGGAAAACCTGTCCCTGTCTTTTCTGGGTCTTGGTGACTCCAGAGGCGTCCCTTGGCTTGTGCCTACGTCCATCCAGTCCCTGCTGCCTCTCCGCATGGCTCTCCTTCCACATCTGTGGGTCCTCTCTTCTTTCTTACAAAAACAAGTGTCCCTGGGTTTCCAGTCCACCCTACATTCACCCTCAATCCAAGATGACCATCAAGACCTCCTGTCCAGGTCCTTACTTGAACTTCAATACCCTCAAGACCCTTATATGCAAAGATTCCTTTTCCATGCTCCTGGCACTGAGTGGGTGGGGCTCAGGGGTCCCACAGCTCCCAGGACAGACCCCAGCACCCGGAGTTCACCAGCCCCACAGGTCAGCGGTGCGGAGGGGCGTCTCCTGCACGGCTGCCACGCTCTGTCATCGACTGGGAGCAGGCGGGAGGCTGGGGCTTGGCAGGAGCACCCAAGACGAATCAAGGTGTAGCATCCGCACCTCCATCTGCAGCAAGCCTTCTGGAAGGGAGACTCAGGCCCGTCTGATGTAACTTTCAGAGATGACAGGAGCTGCGTGCAGAAGCTTAACAGGTGGGAACGTGCAGGGTTTGTCCATAATGGCAGGATGGAGCTTTTCTGGGATGCAGTTTCAACAGCTCTCTATATGAATATGGTGGGCTTTCAATTAATGGGTGGAGAGGGGAGGAAAAATAAGACTCACACCCTCGCCCTGCCCCGAGCACTCGTCCGTCTGCACTTTGTGTTGATGATCTTTGGCTGTTTATTATTTTATTTTATTATTATTATTTTTTGGTACTGAGGATTGAACCCAGGGGTGCTTAACCACGGAGCCACATCTCCAGCCCTTTTTTACTTTTTATTTGGAGACAGGGTCTTGTTCAGTTGCTTGCAGCCTCTCTACATTGCTGAGGCTGCCTTTGAACTTGAGATCCTGTCACCTCAGCCTCCCAAGCCCCTGGGATTATAGGCGTCTGGCTGTGTGTAAATTCGACAGGAAGCAGGTTGGCCAGGCACTTGGCTCTGAATCAGGTGTTTGGAGATGGACAGCTGAATAAGTCAGATCAAAGCCTACCTCTCTTTCCAGTTGGACCTCTTTGAGCAGTACTTGGGACAAAAATAGAGACTGTCATGTGATTTTTTTGTGGTACCAGGGATTAAACCCAGGGGCACTCGACCACCGATTCACATCCCCAGCTCTATTTTTGTGTTTTATTTAGAGACAGAGGTTCACGGAGTTGCTTAGGGCCTCGCTAAGTTGCTGAGGCTGGCTTTGAACTCACGATCCTCCTGCCTCAGCCTCCTGAGCCACTGGGATGACAGACGTGCACCACCGTGCCTATCTATTCCTTGCATTAAAATGATACACCCTCGTTATGAAGATCAGGCAAAACAGAAACACAAGCTATGAAATAAGAAGCAACCCAGAATCCCCACCCATGAAGAGTAAAGACCATGCCAAGTGACCGTCATAGCAAACACCTCTCAAACTCCGTAGCTAGAAGGAAAGGCTGCAAGTCAAGGTAGACAGGCTCAGGAAAGTGTTTTTACTTTGGGAATGCGTTCTGCATCCGATCAAGTGTCATACTTAATTTTACGTAGCTTCTCATGAAGAAATGAAACTGATTTGAAATAGACTTCAAATAGACTAAACTTCAAATAGATGTTAATATTATTTTTTCCCCTACAAGAGGTGTTTTAGATGTTGCTTTCTATTGCCAAGCTCTGGGGCAATTTGTTACACAGCACTAGCTGACAGATGTCTCTGACTTTAGTTTCATTCCAACTCTTTGATCTCATGGGTGTTTTCTTGAGCCTCTCTGGGAATGTGGTACGGATACGTAAACAAACAAGAAGTGGATCCCAGATCTTGCATTCAGACTCAGAACCACCTGCCATCTATGTCCGTGCTGGTTTTGTGGAGGGTAGTTGAAGGAATCAAGACAGACTCCTGCAATCACGTCTTTGCCACCTGGGGACAAGGTGGCTGCCCTCTGAGAAACACTTGGGAGGGGACACCTATGGGTTAAATCTGCCTGCTTTTTAGGGCTGGGGTTGTGGCTCAGCGGTAGAGCGCTCACCTGGCACGTGCCAGGCCCTGGGTTCGATCCTCAGCACCACATAAAAATAAATAAACAAAATAAAGGTGTTGTGTCCAACTAAAAAATACATATCAAAAAAATATTTGCCTGCTTTCACTAGAAGCTGCATTTTCAAAATCTCCTCAGACTGAGTGTGCCCCATCCAGACATTTTATTGACTCATGGAAAAAATTTGTCTGGGATGCCTGACTCCGAGGCTGAAGCAGATAAAATGATTTAAAGAGTGGTTTTTCATTGTGCGCATACTCTCTGCTGGCGATACTCAATAACCATTTTGCTTCTCACTGTTTTTTTTGTGATGCCAACAGAGCAAACGCTACAAATATTATGGGAAATTGAAGTCACAAGCAGCAGGTGTGTATCATAAGAGCTTTTTTTCCCCCTCCCCTCACAAATTTCTCTTGGGGCATAAGATGAAGAGTGTTTTGCGTCTGGTGAAATCAAGCAGACACTGGGCAGAAGTCTCCTATCATGACATTTTCCTCTCGGGGATCTCAGGATTTCCCTGAGTACTTTAAATGACGACTCTCCTTGTTTCTGTTCTGCATGCACAGGCGTTTTTTTTTTTTTAAATTCTTGGATGAGAAATAAAAAGCTATTACCGGGCTGGTCAAGTAAACATCTCTATGAAGAAAGATCCCTTTGCATTCCAGGCAGAGAGTTATTCTACAAAGACAGCGCGTCTTTCTGCAACGCATGGTTTATCTTTTCAAAGACTCCATCGATCCCAAACTGAACAGCTCCTCTTGGCTTTCCAAGAGGTGGTGTCTTGCAGACAGGTGGCCGCTTGTGCCCTGAACGGAAGCCCCTCTGTGAGGATTTCTTCGCGGCTCAGCTGATGAGCTCCAAAGATGCCTGCCAGGTCTCTTCAGGGGACGGAGCTCAGGGCTGCCTCTCACGGGCTGACGGGCAAAGATTTCCGAGCTGAGAGGGCAGACGAGCTGTGCCCCACCAAACAGAGACCGTGGGTGAGTCGGCCAAGCAATCCTGGTCCTTTCTTCTCTATCAGGAGGCTCCGGGAATGCCTCACGGTCCTCAGGGTGAGGAGGATGGTGCATGTGTGGGTTGGGGGTGCTACAACTTCCCACAGAGTGGCCAAGAGGGAGTGGGGCCCCGCACAGGTCTGCTGGCTGGTCTGGGTCATCAGTACTGGCATCGCGCCAGGCACAGTGGCAGACACCTGTAATCTGAGCCGCTCAGGAGGCCGGGGCCAGCCTCAGCAACTTAGCAAGACCCCAGGTAACTCAGCGAGACTCTGATTTAAAATAAAAATGCAAAATGGGCTGGGGATGTGGCTCCGGGGCAAAGCCCCTGTGGGTTCAATCCCCAGCACCACCCGCTCCGCAAAATACTGGCACCAACAAGTGTCTGTGGGTTGCTGGGTGCCCCCGGTAGGTCCAGCAACCAGTCCTCACTCCAGGGGAAAATGAGACAGAGCAGAGACTCCCAGAAAGCACTGCAAAAGCTTTGCAATTTCTGCCCCGTTAATTTTGAATTCACGATCCTGCTTCAAGTCTAGTGGAAACCTAACTTGTCAAGAGCATCAGCATGACCGACTGACTCCAGACAGTGCCGAATCGCCCAGGAAATGGACCCAGCTTGGCCGGGGGATTGATTTCTCCACTCCACAGCGTTACCTGATGGTGCACCCTCTGGGGGCCGTTCTGTTCTCCCGGCCCTGGACGGAGCTTGCCGGAGGCGTGCCTCATGGACGCTTGGAACCCCCAAGTGCCATCAGAGGGGTTTAAACACCACGCTGTGAGCAGGTTTGGTGATGCACTGTGCAGCCCAGCCAACCTGAGCTTTCCTGGGTACTTTTTGCTAACTGCTTTTACCCTGGCTAGAACACTCCATGTGTTCCTTTGAAAACCAACAAATCCAATTAAATCAAGTCTGTTTCCGCTCAGGAGGTGATTCTCCGAGTTTACATGCAAAATCTCATTGTTGTAGATCATTTCAGACATGTGATACGTATAGAACCAATACATGCACTCAACACATCTGCACAAATGAAATGATCCGTAAAAGAAAAACAGAATCTACAAATAAAATGCATGATATGTATATGCATGCACAAGGGTACATACAATTGCGTTTACATGTCATCTGGCTATGTCTATATAACTAAGTAACATATCTGCTGCATATCTGCTTATCACGGGGTGACATATATGCAGTATGCAAATTGCATATATTTAATACCAAAATATCATACCTTTATTATGTACAATTGTGCAATTATAATAATATATCATTATAATCATATGCAATATCATATATAAGTATGCGACACATACACATGTTATACATACATCTATAATATATCTACACATGTACTTATATTTTATGTAATCATAATTATTGGATTACTCGTTCGTAGTATAAATATGTATTTTTATATCTATGGTACATGTATGAAAGTGACAAGTAAATAGTTATATCATGGTTATTAAAAATATATATGTAACATATAAATATATACTAAATACACGTCTTTATTCACAAGGAGTGGAACAAATATATTGTAAAAGTCTGTATTTATGCACAATCTATTGCCAGCTTATTTAGAAGAGATTTTTTTTTTTTTTTAAAGCCGAGTTGAAAACTGGATTTAATTTATTTCTGGGAAGCAGATGATGTCATCTGGAGAAAAAATAAACAAACCCATTCCCATCGGGTCCGAAATGCAATCTGTAATGTAAATTTGGGGGGAGAACGCTTATTTTTCTTTTCTTAGGAAACTAAACAATTTTGAGAAGGTGTCTCTTCGCCCTGAGAAGGGAATGGGGAGGACGCAGCCTCAAAGAAAGCTCGGGCCTCCAGGGAGGCCCTTGGGGAGGTGGAAACACTCAGGAGCTGGTGGAGGGCACGATGCCCTGTCCCCTCGGGGACGCTCCTCCAGGCCTTTTGCAACCCACAAGGACAGAATGCCCTTGGAAATCTCTGCTCCCAAACATAAAGAGGGGTAACAGCCTGGTCATTGGATGAGGCCTCTTCTCTTTTCCCTAAGGAAGCACCGCCCGTGCGTGATACTGTCCCCTGCAGTTAACATTTCCAGGAGAATTCCGGGTGTGGGCACAGCGGGCCCCGCCCCACCCCAGGCTTCAGTGCCCAGGAACCACCGACCCAGGGTCAACCAGCTCTTTCCCGTTGGGTCCTCCCTGCACTTGTTTCACGACCCCCCACATTTCTCTGTGGTCATCGGGGGGAGCCTGGGTCCCTGTCCGGGCCTGCCTGGAGATGACCATGCTGTGGATGGAGGTGTGGCCCTGGCACGGGATGTTTGCAAGCCCCTAGCACGGCCCTAGCGCCCTGGCGTGCTCGCTTGCAGGAGAGTGACTTATGGATCAAGCTGTGGGGAGCCCAGGCAACTGCACCCCACCATGGGGATTCTCACCCCGCTGGCGGGCTGAAAGGAGGGACCCCCTTCCCTGGGCCCACAGAGCACTCAGGGCCTGCCCTCACTGGCAGGCATTGGATTGGATGGTGCTTTCTACTGAGCCCAAGATTAGTCAAGGACAAGGCGTGTGTGTGCGCGATGCGAACGGTGAGGGGAACAGACAAGTGACCAGCGCAGGGAGGTGAGGTGGGAATTGCACTCACTGCGTCCTTCCCTTGCGATTCCAGGTTAAGAGCGGAAGAAACCAAGGAGTCGGGCTGGTTCGGGAGACGGCTTGCATCCTCCAGGATCTGGATTTAGTTAGGTGCAGTGGGGATTTACTGCCTCACCTCCTCCTCTTCATCCCAGTTGCTGAGCAGCAAGAGCAAGTTTGCATTAGCAAGAAGGGAGGCCGGGAGGCTGCTTGGGTACAGAGTTCTCAAAGCTTGGAGGCCCCAGGCAGGACTCGGCCTCAGCTCATTGGTGCAGGTGCTGGTGCTGAGCAGGCACAGCTTTTCAGCAGCATGACCTCTCTAGGCGCATAGGTGAGAGGCGTTCCAAGAACAGGGGACATAGGCAGAAGGGGGTGGAATTTCTTGTGCGATTTTAGAAAGTCCGTGAGATAGCGCTTGTCTGAAGTGAGTTGTTCTCTTTCACCAGTTTCTGGTTTTTGTCGGAATCTGACGAGAATGATTTCCTCTTGGAATCAGTAACTTTCGCAGGGAACATAGTAACTGCTCCGTAAGTACAGGTTACACACACATACATTACTGTTTTGATACAACGCTATTTCTTTCAGGTGGTGACAAAGCAGTTTTTAGAATCCAGCTCTTTTTATTTTCCAAAAGAAGAAAGTAAAGTAAAAAGAGAAATGTCTTTAAAAATATATGTGAAGTGCTTGCCTAGCATGTCCAAGGACCTGGGTTCAAGCTGCAGTATCTACAAAAAAAAAAATATATATATATATATATGTAATTATTCATATATACATACGTCATATACAAATTATAGGAGTTAATCAGAGCAAGGAAAATCACATTGAGTGCCAGTAAAGGGACCCGTGTCACCCTTGGTCCACATATGGTCATTAAAGGAGGCTGACACGGTGGAGCCCGAGAATCAGGATGGTATTATCAGCCCGGCTCTCACCTGCACCGGCCCCTTCATCTTTTCTGTCTCCCCAGAAGTCAGCATGAGGCTGAAGTCTGAGTCTCTTGGTCCCCCACGTGGGCTGTCCCCCTCTTTCTATCATTATAGCAGACGTCGACTGCTGCCGTTTTAGTGACTCTCCTCCCAGCCCTTTCCTTTGTCATTCGCATCCTAGGGACGTGATCACCCTGAGTGTATAATTCTGTATTCTGCACTTCAGCTGCATGTTGTGCGGCATGTCTCCGTGTTTTTTCCATCTTCCTTTCAAGCTGCACAGGTAACGGCAGCATGACTTCTTAAATCATGTCTTCTACCTTTCTCCTCCCTATTTGCTTCTTGCCTGAGTCCGCTTTGAGGATTCACTAAATTAGGGGCTGTGGAGCGCGTGCAGATTAAACAGGGTCTTGGCTGAGAGGGTCTGGGAGGATGGACGGGAGAATGGAAGGAGGAGGGACGTGTGTCTGGTGGGTGTACCTAGTAACTGAAGAGTGAGCTGCTGACACACGACGACATTGTGAGACATACACATCACCCAACTGGGCTTGTCAACGCTTTCGTTATTGGGGGGGGATACACCAGGGATTGAACTCAGGGGCACTTGACCCCTGAGCCCCGTCCCCAGCCCCCTTTTATACTTCATTTAGAGACAGGGTCTCCCTGAGTGGCTTAGCATCCCGCCATGGCTGAGGCTGGCTTTGAACCTGCCATCCTCCCGTCTCCGCCTCCCGAGCCGCTGGGATCACGGATGCGCGCCACCACACGCCGGCTTCACTGTGTGCAAAGTTTCTCTGCTTCGGCGACCGCGTCGGGGAGGCTGTTAAAGGATGCCGTGAAGCAGAGGGTTGGGATGATGCAGGTAAGCCCAGATTGTCATTCACTCCGCGTCGATAGAAGGAGCATACATCTCCAAGGGCTGCGGCTCCGCAGTTTGCAAAACCGCAGCCTGGGAACTCTTTCCAAAGACGGGAGTTTTCCAAATATCCAGGCTCTCTATCAATGATCCCAACGGGATGCTGGCAAAGACGCGGCATCTGGGGAACACAGGAGAAGAGAAAGCAATGGGTGGAAAGGTGAGCTACACAGGAGCAGGCTGTCCATGCCGAGGTCTATTCCTGCCAGCGATGTGTCTCTTGACCTTGGAAGCAAAGTCACCTTGAAGATGTGTCAGAGGCATCCAAGAAGGCAGGGTAGCCTGGAGTCTCAGCCAGGGGAGGGTGGACACAGGACAGTCTCTGCCGACGGGCCAGGAATGGGAAGACTCATTGTCCCTTGTAAATTATTAAAAAAACGATGTGCCGCTTGTGTTTCTGCAGAACATGTTTCTTGGGCGGTTCTTTGGTGACGGTCACCTAGATTCATACTCGGCTGAGGCGTGGGCAGAGGTGCCTGGGCAAACTATTTTAAACGAAGCCGGAGTGAAAAAGAAGGGTCAGTTTTTTA